TTGTTTGGCCCTTAGAGGTTGGGACACTGCTGGGAAATCTTTCTTTGCCTGCTATCTTACCTCCCCTGGGAGAGGTGGGGCTGAAAGACTCCTGGTCCAGCCCTGCCCACCATGCCACACTGCCCTTTGGTTGGCTGAGGAAGTGTCTCGGTTTACCAACAGTATGTTTGAGTAGAATGACTGTGTATAGCCTTGGAGGATCCCTGGACTTTCAGCCAGAGGACTTCAGTTCAAATCCCGACTTGACCCTTGTCACTTGGTGACTGAGGGCAGTTTGTTTGGTCTGCCCTTAGGGTTGGCGCTTAGGGCTGTGGGAGGGTCCAGTGACCGGCGCCTCTTGTGGGTCCGAGACCTCCAGCACTGCTCTTCCCCATCAGGATTCCCCTTGGGAAGATGGCACATCCTGCAAAGGGTAGTGTAGAATGATAGTCCAGTGGGCTGGGACAGGAGAGGGGCCTTGTGGTAGTATGGATTAGGTGCCTGCTGTGTGCGGGGCCCACCGTGGTGGCACCACTTCCTGGAGAACGAAGGAGAGAAATCTGGCGTGGGGCAGTATGGTGCAGTGGGTGCCGCTGTCCTGACTCCAAATTTAAATGCCACCTCTGCCCGTTAGGAGCCATGTGCTCTGGGCAAGCCCCTTGCCCTCTGTGATTGCCAGTTCCCTGAGCCGTAAAATGACGCCATGCAGGCTGGCGCTGAGGCCCAAGGGATGTCAGGTTTGTCGAGGCTCTGTCATCCTTCCTGTGATGTGGAAGAGGCAGCTCCGTGGTCACCTAAGGAGTGGGTGGCCCAGTGGCTCTTTCCTGGAGGCTAAGGTGGATTGTGGGCAGGCCCCAGGCCGCCTGGGTCATCAGCACCCACACTGCCTCCAGGGAATCATGAAGCCCAGCTCTGCTGGAACCAGAGGGAGTTTGGGGTCCTCCCTTTCTAGAAGAGGAAGCCAAGGCAATGCCCCACGTAGTAACTCAGATGCAGGCAGAGCGCTGCCCACCGGACCCAGCGGCTGCCTTTCTTAGGGGCCAGGAAGGTGCCGTGGAAGGCAGATTTGGAGATGAAAAGCTCATTGCTTTAAGTGAAAAGCAGAGCTACAGAGCTACCAGTCCTCTGGGTGGGGGGGTAGTGCCTCACAGGCCTGTGTACCCCCACCCTCCCTTACTGGCTCCCCTTCCATGAACACTGATCTTGTCACTTTTCATTTCAAGAAACCAAAGACCTGGGAAAGGATGGCGTTGTGATAGCATTTTCATTTTTTCCCTTCAGAAACAAAAAACGGAAATCCCTTGCTAAGCTGGAAAGGCGCCCAGCTTGAGAAGGTTTCTGCATGGCTGATTCCGGCTGTGGGAGAGCTGAAAGGCTCTGGGGAAGGGGCCAGCCCCCGCTGGGACGGCGAAGAAAGGGGCAGTGCTTGGCAGCTCAGACTGGATTTGGGAATGCAGCAAGTGGCCATGATGGGGGGGGGGATGTGGGTGAGTACAAGTGTGTGCAAGACAGCATGTTTATTCTATGTGAGTGTTTGTATGTGCATGTACATGAGTGTAGGGGTGAGTACATGTGTGTGCAGGTGTGCAAGTGTGTTCTGTGGGTATGCAGGTGTGCGAGTGGGTGTGCAAGTGTTCTGTGAGTGTGCGAGTGTGTTCTGTGGGTGTGCAGGTATGCGAGTATGTGTTCTGTGTGCGTGTGTGAGAGTACGTACAGGGATGGGTGTGTGTACACAGAGGGTATTCCCAAGAGCTGACCAGATTTCCACTTGCTGAGCAGGGCCTGGGTCTGGAGATAAAGCCCCAGAGCAGAAAGGGTTCTCAGGCAGAGCCTTCCAGAGGGAGGCTCCCCCTTGAGTCTGGCTGGGGGCTGGGGGTGGGCCGGGCCTTGACTGGGGAGCCCCTCTCCAAGGCCCATTCACTCCAGAAAGCTGCTTAAGCCACTTAAACCCATTAGCATTTGGATGCTGGCCTTGGAGGGGGGACCCCATTGACCCTCACTGGGAAGGCAGCATGAGTGAAGGCTGCAGTGACTTGTCAGGGCTTTAGAGGCAGCTTTAAGCAGTGGCAGGCGGGCGGGTTTTCCGCTTTGGTACGCGTTCTAATCTGCTGCGTGTTTAAAGGCAACCAGACTGATTTGTGACACATGAGTCCAAAGGCGCTCTTCAGGGGCTTGACCCGATTAGCTGAGCTGTGCTTGGAATTTCAATGCCTGCCATGGAAGGATGGGGTTAGTGGGGGCTATGCTTAGGGGATGGCCTGCTACCAGCAGATGACCTCGTTGGCGGCTGACTGCCCACACAGCCAGATGGTGAGATGGGAGGTCATTCCTTGGCCAGAGAGCTGAACCAAGGCCTGACATAGATCGATGGTGGTGACGAGAGAATATAGTAAAAGTCAAACAAATTCTTGTCCTCTGCTGGGGTATAAGAACTGCCCCCCCCCCCACCATAGTGTCTTTACTAGTAAAGATCTTGTAGGCCCCTTGACCTAATGGTGGTAAAGACCAGGACTTTTCCAGGAAAGGTTGTGTCCCCAGAGCCTCCAAGCCTGTGGGCATGTCTTTGTTTCCAGGCCTTAGTGTTCACACTTCTCCTGGGGGAGGGGCGGGAGAGCCCACTGTGACAAGAACTCATCTTGGAACATGGGGCCAGGAGCAACACCTCTATCCCTGGGCATGGCGGAAGGCCACCATCAGGAGAATGGGCAAACTCGTTTCTGTGACAGAGGGAGAGGCCACCTCCCAACTTCCTCTTTCAGGAAGTTCAGGCTGCCATGAGCCACTTGCTTGTGAACACCCTGCCCTCACCTGCCAGGATGCTTCTTTCCAGTTTTCTTGTTTTCATTGTGTGTGATATGTCACAACAGGCTTACATGTAGGCCACACCCTACCAGCCTTGCATCCAAGATGAAGCTCCTCGAACCCCCAGCCCCTACCCTGTTTTCTTATTTCCATGTTCTGCCCTTCATCTGTCACCTATGCACTGGGGGCTGGACTGTAAGCACCCTGAGGCCAGAGGCGGGGCTTGATGATGCCTGAGCGCTGGGTCTCTTCCCTAAAACCATATGTGTGCCTGTAGGAGATGTTTAACAAATAAATGTTGCTCTACAAATAAATAGCAGTGAATTGCGCTAACAAATTAAGTTACAGTTTTCAAAAGCAGTTTTGTAGTAAGTCAGACTCAGCAAGTTCCATGTGTCTACCAGGGTTCTGATGGGCCTTCAGTGAGAGTCCACATCCCCTGGCCCAGATGAATGGCATCTTCAGGTGCTAAAGGACCAGGGAGAGCAAGAGAGGAACCACAGGCCTGGAGAAGGGCAAATGTCCCCATTTCAAAAAAGGGAGGAGAGTGCAGTCTAGATCCATGGCTTTGAATCCTGGGAAATTCTAGAATGGATCATTAAAGAGAAGCTTAGTGAACATGTAAAATAGGAAGCAATGATAAAACAGCCTACCTGAGGTCAGCAAGCACAGGTTGGGCGGAGCCACCTCAGATCCTCTTTGACAGGGGTGCTAGCCGGGTATATCAGGGGAATGCTACAGGTCTTGGCAAAGTGCTGAACAGAGAGGACTCTGGAGGTGTGGGCTTGAACCAGGATCTTCAGGGGACAGAAGACAAGGAGGGGCTCAGCCTGGGATAGGGTTGGCAAAAGGAGCTTCCAAGTGGCAACACTCCCTCCACCAGTTTCGGTTGGCCCCTTCTCTGCAGGTGCCCAGGTCCCCACAACCAGAGTCTGGACCCAGCTCTCTAGCCCCAGCCTCCCCACCCAGCTTCTGCCTTCCTTGGCCGTTGCTGTGATTTCTGCTGTTCTGGGTCATCCTCTAGGCAGGACACAGAAGCTGGGCAGCCCCCCCAGAGGGGGACAGGGAGGATGGGGACATTCCCAGAGCCCAGGTCTGAGGAGGATGCATTGGAGGAAGCATTTAGACTGAAGAAGAAAAGTAGGGGGGTGGGGAGTGGCGATGGGGGAAGGGTCAAGAACCCATCTTCAAAGATTTGAGGGTCATCCTGTGGAATAGGGATCGGGCTGGTTCTGCTTGGCCTGGGGAGGGGGCACAGAACCAGGAGTGAAGGCTAAGGGGCAGGAGGAAGAGTGCAAAGGAGGTTTAGGTTCAATGTGAGAAAAATGACCTTCAAATGCATGCTGTTCTGAAGTGTTCTGGGCTACTGTGGGAGGTGAATTAATGAAGGAAGAAGTGTTTATGAAGCGCCTATTATGAATAAGAGCTGTTATGTGCTAAGCCCTGGGGATACAGATTTTTAAAAATGACATGTCCCTTCTCTGAAGGCGCTCCCATTGACTGGAGAGACAGCAAGTATGGAAAGCAGGCGGGGTGATGACTGTCACCTCAAGGACAGGAAAACTCACGTCTGCTTCTCTGGCCTTCCTCCTGTTCAGTCTCCCCCAGCATCTGCTTCCTATGCATCCCCACATCCCTGCTCACAGAACCATTGGGTCCCTGGAATCGAGAGGCAGCAGGGCTAGGAAGAGGGGCATGGGAGCGATCTGGAGTCCTCAGAGACCTGGGAGCACATCTTGGCCCAAACACTCAGGGAGTGACTACAGGCATGACCTTCACCAAGGTGCTAGGAGCTGCTGGTGAGATGCCTGGCCCCAAGGGAGGCCTTAGAGTGTAGCGTATGTGAGGATTGCTAGGAAATGTGATCTGTGGCCGTGGGGGGAGGATGGGTATTCGTTTCTGACTGAGTCAGAGGTTGGTGGCTGGGGTATAAAGGGGATCAGGGACCGTGCTGTTTCCTCAGTATCACTGAGCACGTGGGGCATGAATGCAAACCCCCTCACTGCCGCCAGGAGCAGGAGCACTGCGTGTGTCAGGGGCTACCATCAAGCTCTGGGAACGTAGCCTGGCTTTTCCGTAAGATCTTTCTTTTTGCCTTTTCTTCCATGCTCTGCCCATTACTGGGGCTGGGGTGGCCAGGAGATGGCCCCACTTCTCTCCTTGGCAGGAACCTTTTTTTCCCCCTTGGTGACCTGACCTCTGTCTGTCTGTCTCTGCAGACACTTTGCACAAAAGCCACGATGCAGACCATCCGGGCAGCTGATACGAACGAGGTCGTGAAGTTAATATTCCGTGAATCTGATAATGACCGGAAGGTAGGTGCGCCACAGGTTTCTGGATCTCGGCAAGTAGGTGGGCATTCCTGGGCCCTGCAGTGCAGCCGCAGTGACTGGCACCTCCCTATAGAGAGTAGGGGGTGCCCCGCTTCCCACCTATGACCCTTTTCATGTGGGGAGACTGTTGGGGAAAAGCCTGACCACGCTCCCCATAGTCTCCTGGGCTCCTTCCCTTCCCCTTCTCCATGCTAGCCCAGCATGTGTTTGGGTGGATGCCTGGCCCATAGCCTTCAGCCCATCTGCCTCCCCTCTGAAGCTGGGCACAGCCCAAAGGCATGGCTGGGGCGGTGGGGGAGGGGAGACTTGGAGGCCGCCCCGTGCCCGCTGAGCCGCTGTCCGGAACCTGGCAGCCCTTGCTACGTGGCCTCTCTTTCTTCCCAGGTCATGCTGCAGTTAGAGAAGAAGTTATTTGATTATTTCAATCAAGAAGTGTTCCAAGACAACAATGGGACAGCGGTAAGCACCCCCACCCCACCCTGCCCCCTCCCAGGTGCTGCGGGCCAGCCTTGTGGTGGCCAGCACCCTCCTGAGCACCCAGCAAGGAGGGGAGTCGTGGTCTGGTCCCTCCGCATGAGATCAGCTCTGGAATCCGGTCCCAGGACAGAAGTGTGTGCAGCCCAAAGATACATGTGCCCAGGGCACTAACTGGAAGCCTAGGAGCCTGTGGGCACACACCAAGGGTCTGGCACCCTCTTTTGGGTAAATAACAAAAATCCATTTAGAGTGAAGGATTCGCATGTGACCACACATGTATGTAGAAACACATACCAGCTGAGCCATGTGGAGATCAGACGTGCCAGCTGTGAGCGCTGCCAAGCGGAGTCCACACCTCGCGGACTCGTGGGGTCTGGGAGTCCCGTGCTCGGGACAAGCCCAGCTCTCCTGCTGCCTGGGAACACTGGGCAGGGTCTTGGGGTCTTCAGACTCCCCAGCACCCTCACTGCTCCACCCTGGCCCGTTAGCCGAGTCTGAGAAATTGAACCATGAGGGCAAAGCCATTCCTTGACCACTGCCCGGGTCTGAGAGGAGGGATTCTCTCTGGCCCATCCTGAAGGCCCGTGCCAGCTCTGAGGCAGCCCAGGGGTCCGGGAAGTGGGTGTCTTGGATCTCAGGGGAGGGTCTGAAAGATTGACTTGTGTTGGCTTTTATCTCTTTGCCAGCATTTATCTGCCTCTTTCTCTGAGCCTGCTGGCAGGATGACATGTGTGTGTCCACATGTATACGTATGTGTCTCTGTGTTTATGCATGTGTGTAGCCACATGTATGTGTTTGCGTCTTTCTGTCCCCCCCAAACAAGTCTTTCTGATGCCCCTGTGTTCCAAGACTGGAGGATGCGGATCCTGAGCTGTCTTGAAACTTCAGAATAGAAGAGCCACCTTTTGGATGATTCAGGGCCCGTCTTGCATTCACACCTCAGAAGGAGACAACACTGGGGGACCCCAGCACTAGAGCAGAACAAAACAAATTGGATTGAGGGACAGACACAGCTGTTCACTGAGCCTCTGGCTTCTTTGATGAAGAGAGGGGCAGCTAACATGAGCAGGGCTTGCCTTCGTCCGGCCACTGATCAGAGGGTGGCCGGCCGGCTCTAAGAGCCTTGTGGACTTGGGATGCCAAAGTGGGGGCTCTGTCCCCAGGGAGATGCCATTTACTCCTGGGACCATAAGCCCCAGCGATCCCCCTGCAAGGTCACACTTCTTCACCCTGGTGAAACGTCGTGTTTTCGCTAGTGTCCCATTTTCTTGTATGTTTGTGGTTGCATGGCTTCCTTAAATGGAATTTGATGAGGCAGCTGAAGGTAAAATTGCCCAGAGCTGGAACTGCAGAAGCCGGGTCTGCCCCATGAGGCTGCTCACGGCCAGCCGTCAGCCTTCCCAGGGATCCAGCACGGCGATGGCTTCTCTCCTGCACAACGATGGCTTCTCTCCTGCACTCACCCTCGCCGGCGTGTGCCCGGGCAGATGCCCTGCTGCTGCCCATGCTCCATGTTTGAGGAAGCAGGCACTCTCCCTGATCCATGGTGGCGGGCCAAGATGAATGGCGTAATGAGCCGCCGGAGATCATCTCATCTTCATGGTCTAGTTAAACAAGCACACCACGGTCACCAAGAACAAACTGCCTCTCGGTGAGGATAAATGTCCCTGGGCCGAACTTGGCCCCCAAAATCCATCGCATCCTTCATCAACCACCAGCTTGTACCAGCCTGACAGAAATTTAATTCAAGCTGGCTCCTGAAAATAATTATTGTATTTTAAGAGCAGTAATCATTGGTCGGGACATGATTGAGCATGTCCATGCCTATTGACTTTTTCTATGATTTATAGCTTTGTTTAGTCGATATTCCCATCGAAATTGTATAATTAATTATAAGTGGGGCTGTCAGGGCTGCAGGATGGAGAACCCTGATGAGTATTTGGGAAGATTAAATTTTCCTTAGCTGCGCCGATGCCAGGCTTGGGAATTCTCACAGCCCTCCGGCTGCTGGATAAAGATGTTTTCTGTGTGTTTAGCAACTGCTTGAGCTCCAGACCATTGATTTTTCCGGCCCTTTTTTTATCTGTGCGGTGTCCTTTCAGTAACAGTGGAATTTGTGCAGATGTGTTGGTCCCTGACAAACATTTATTATCCGGAGGCTGCTTCATCATTGTCCCCAGGCTGCCCTCCCCCACCCCCACCTTTTTTTTTTCCACATTGTAATCAAGGAGAATGTTGGCGATCCGTGTGAAAACCGTTAGTGGCTTTTGAGAAATCACAAATAGATACAAATTAAAGATGCAGCCCTTCCTGATAGTGTCTCCTCAGAAGCGTTTTCTGCCAATGCCCCAGGAATGGTTTTCCTTCTAGGGCATTGATCCCAGTCTGACGCTGTGCCTTTGAGATCTGGCCCTGGAAAACCGGGTTCCCCAAACCGTCTGAGCATTCTGGGTCTTCCCAGGACTCTTTAAGCTTGCAACAGAAAGCATGAAATAAACTACCAGGATTCACTGATAGTAAACAGGGTGTACATGACTGCAAAGCAGTCACAGACACCAAGAGGGACCCCGATGGACCTGATGTATCTGCTGCTCGTCTGTCCCCCCCTTCCTTCCCCCCCCCCCCACCGCCCTCATGGCTCAGCTGGGAAACAGCACGACATGCTTTTTCTTCTCCAGCTATCATATTTTTCACATGTAAAAGTTTACATTTCAAGACAGATGGGTGTGAAGAGGACAGTGCCAGCAAAGGCCTGCCTAGATTTCATTGTGTCTTTCTGATTCTTAAAATGGCTGTTTATGCGGCACTGAAGCAATGTGGATTTCATCATTTTCAGACGTCCTTTTCACTGTCCAAGTGACAGAGCCAGAATATGTCTCACCCTTGCAGGAAGGAGGTGTGGCAGTTGGAGGATGGTACTAACCCCTCCCTACAACCCCCTGGTAGGCTAGCCAGGGAGATGCAAATGGGCAACACACATGGCCCGAGTGTGCAGGGCCAGTGCCCAAAGCCTGATGGCGTGTGAGTGACAGCAGGATGGCTTGGGAATTCCTAAAGTCAGCTTGCCCGCAGACCCCTTAAGAGCCTGCCCTCACAAGCCTTGGTGTCCTTCCACGTGGTTGCCCCTCATCTTTGCTCCACCTGATTTCAGATGCACACTTTTGTCTCACTGGAAAGTCTTTGTTTAGGGACACAAAGCTAGAATTTTTTGTTTTGTTTTGTTTTTTTAGATCTCACATTTCTGACCAAGACTGCAGTGATCACTTTCAACTGGTCCAGGAGTTACTCAGTACTATACCCATCTGATGCCACTCTGGGGCCAGGAGCCCTGGACCATGCCTTATCGGACAGCTGAATCCTTTCTGTTGGAATGATGTAGAATGAAAACACACTGGAGTTTCTCTCTGATGTAAATGAAATTTGAGACGAGTGACATTCACTTGATAATCCATTAGGGCCATTGTGCCTTCCCTTGCCCAACCTGGATCCAGGGGCTCGGGGAGCATTACAGGAAGCGGGGGGAAGGGGGACTTCAGGCCATGTTTCCACATAACTGGGAGCTGTGCTTGTGCAATTCAGAATTAATTTTACTCTGTCCATTTGGTACTCAATTAAACAGATAGCATGTGAGTAAAAGTTAATAATGACTTATGTGGAAATGATTGAATCATTTAAAATGACTATGATTTTATAATCTCAGCATAGTCCAAAATGAAAAATGATAATTAGCTCATTTCCTCTTGTTTGAAGCCCCATGCCAGCAGGCACTGCTGAAAATGGATGACTGCAGTGTGGCAGGACACGCTCTGACAGAAGCACTGAACGGCAACACTAGTGCCTGATGGGATTTCACATCCCCCACCCTCACACCCAGTCATGGCATGCACACCGATATGGGGCAGGGTGTATGGGGGGGCCACGTCAGGGGAGTACGGGACACAGACAGAGGCACTAGAAGAGGCGTCTCTTCCTGGCCACTGAGACTTGTGCCCCTCCTGACTGCCGGGGAGTCAGGCCGCGTGGCCCTTGTGTTACTGCCACTCTTTTTTCTTGGCTCACCTGCTGCCTTCTGTTTTCCTCCCGTGGCAGTGCAAGCGGTGTGGTGCCCTCCGGTTAAGAGGTGCCATGAAAGGCTGCTGAGGGCCTGGCCCTCCTGTGTGCTTCATTAGACTGCGGGCTCTTTCATGATAGCTGATTTTTATGTAGGACGTTAAGGTTTGCAAAGTTCTTTACAAATATTATGTCATTTGATCCCATATGACATAGGTGCTAATATCATCCCCATCTTACAGATGAGGAAATTAAGGCAAACAGAGGTTAAGGGTCACATAGCAAGTAAGTATCTCAGGCAGGATTTGAACTGAGGTCTTCCTAACTTCAGGACTAGCACTTGACCCACTGTACCACCCAGCCTTCTCAAGGATCTGCCTGCTCCTTAAAGGCAGGAACTGTTTTTTTGCCTGTCTGTATCTCCAGTGCTAAACACACTTCCTGGCACATAGTAAGTGCTTCCTAAATGCTAATTGACTGACTGACTGATATACTTAAGGAAAGATCTAAAACTAGATCCAGACTATCTTATCCATGGGTGTGGGAGGGGACAGAACCTGACCCTGAAACAAAGGCTGAACTGTGAAACTGACACTGAAAATTTGAGTAAACAGAAGAAGACAGAACACTGAAGAAATACTGTGGATCGCGTCGCACACTGAAGATTCACCCAGAAGAAGAGAGTCATTCTGCTACAACTATACCATAGCCTCCCAGGCTGGGTGGACTACAGTGGTGCATGGAAGAAATCAAGCAGGAGGAGGAGGGGGAGGACAAGGACAAGGGCAACAACAAGAGCTCCTCTCCAGGAGAGAATTGAAAGGCATTTGGAACAGAAGGAGAAAACCTCATCCAAGTAATGAGCTTCCTGAAAATTAGAATGAATGAAATAAAAAATTCCCTCAGACAAGAAATTTAGGACAAAAAAAGAA